GTTTAGCTTATTTAGGCCACCTGTGGCCCAAATAAGGTAAGGGAGGGGGGTTTAGCTTATTTAGGCCATATGTGGCCTAAATAAGGTCACCCTATTAAGTATTCTTAAGATAGTAGATAGTAGTCTCCACACATTCTATCAGCCAATAAATGCACACACCAGTGATGCTTCAAAAGAAAAGTTACAACAGAGAATTGTTCTCATGTACTTATCAGGCGATCTGATGCTCATAACTATGATGACCCATCCTATGAAAAAGTTGAACCAGTTCTGATGACCATCGGTCCTAGACAACCATCAGTACAAACAACCCCTTCCCCTTGCAATTTAAAAATATTAAATAATACTGTTCAAGACAGACACCTGTCTCAGAATGCCCACTATTCTCCTCGATACTGGGTGGTAGTCTGCTTGGACAGATTCAACTGTATAATCGGAAGAGGACATCTTTTATTTCTTTTTGAAGGCATGACATTGTGAAATTAAGTAGCCTACTTACTATGGCATAGTTTATATCATTCAACTTTCATCACAACTCCTGCGTGGTTATACATATAAGAATCCCAGTCACCATTAGTTATTCAAAATTCTCTCGATCATTAATTTTCTAGCTGTGGCATGACAAATAAAAAATAAGACCAATTAACATAAAAATATATTATATGATAATCATGGCAATCCAACTTAGCGGCGATCTTAATTTTTAAACCTTGTGTATCATTTAGAAGTGGGCCGTTGCGTCAAAATCCCTGCCATATTATGGTTTTCCTCTGAAGTAAAAGCTCCAAATTCATTGGAAAAGTAAGAACCTAAGCAAAAAAATCTTTGAGTAGTTTGTTCGTTTTAGTAGAGGTTTTACGGCGTTCGCAACTGCATAAGGTCATATAAGCACCAGAAGATTAGAGGTGTTACAAGAGAGTAACAAACATAAAAAAGAAGAAGGGGAGATAAGGATGATAGATGTTTGATAGGAAAAAAGAAGCAGACCACACCAGAGCACCCGCCAACCACCCACAATCTTTGAGTACTTCTCAAGGTATGGTTAACAGCCAATAAGATTTAGAATGTATAGACAGAGACATGCCATGCAACAATTCATTGCAAGCAATTGTGACCCCCAATTGTTCCAAAGCAAGTAACACAGCTAACATTAAATTAATGAAAGAAACATAATGGACAGCATAAGGAGTAAGTAAGTGAGCAGGCATGTTAAAAAAAAAAAAAAGACAAACATATAAAAAATTACCTGAACCACAAGTAAAGATAATGGGCTTTTTCAAATCCACATTATTGTCTTCGAAGATTTTCTTCAGCTCATCAACAGATTTGTAGGTTTTGCTCTCAGTATCCATTAACTTCACAAACGGCACATTCAAGGCTTGTGGAATGTGCCCAGGCTTAACACCTACAATATAACAGAAGGAAAAACAAAATTAGTTAGACACCATCTCCCTGGTTTTTAATCTTCCTCGAACACACACACACACACACATACACACACTAATGTCTGTATAACTGCTCAGAATTTTATTTTCAGTAATCCATCACCCTAGAGTAACAGCAACATAAGTATCAGTACAGTTTCACTTTTTCATGGAATGGCGCAGTTATTTGGGCTAATATTTATAAGGTGGCGCAATATATATATATATATATATATATATATATATATATAACACGGCTGTCTAAATTGCCCCAAAACTGCCAGTTTAGTTAACGGGCAAGGGTTTCCCGCCCACCATTCCGAGATGGTAATAAATCAGCTGTCAGCCGTGCAAGGTACCGTGACGGCAGTGGCACTCCCGGCGCACCTCAGTCGTGCCCAGGAAACTTGATTCCAGTCATTTTCGATTAATTTGATCCCCAATATATCTCCTGATCTAAAGATACGATGTGTCCATATGGGGTCTCATTTTAAAGGGCTACTTTAACCCAACGAGACGATATAATTTTTTCTGGTGTGCCTTCACTAGTGTTAATCCTGCTGGCGAGAAGTGCTTTCCATCCTTTATTGCTTTTAAAGCAACTTTTATCTATTCATTTTTATTTGAAGTTATTTTTCTCAGTAATCTGACCTACAATTAAATTTTTTTTTCTTAATCACTTTTGAGAAAAGAGTACTGAGTTACATGTGAAAGTGAGAACATTGTACATATTCTGTGTGATTCATAGTGATCAATTTTGTGTAGACCTTAGAGTGTGAAAGTACCCCAATCCTTGTTCGCCTTGTTCGGATTTCTTCTGCTTTTTTTTGCTGTGGAGTATTGGGAACATTAATATTCATATAATGGACATGGTGTATTCATATGTAGAACATGTGGAGGTAGAAGTCCATCAAGAAAACAGAAATAGCAAAAGTAAGAGAAAAGCGTACAAATGCATTGACTTTGCACTTGATATCTTGTTGGTATTTGGGGTTACGATAGCAGTAGGACACATTTGTATGCGGGAACTAGATCTATAGTAAGGCAAGAAAAGCAGCTGAAACCTACTCAAATTTGAGGACAGCTTTTCAGTCTGATATACGCGCTAGCGACTGTTCGATATGCACACACTATCATCGCACATCAATGGGGAGCAAGAACATTCCAGTACAATTAGAAACAATAAAAGCATCAGAAACTACAGAGACAACACATTCACCACATACATTTGGAGACTCGGAAAACTCAACAAACAACTCAACTGCAGAGCCATCTACACAAACACACACAGAGGACAATACTAGGCAGGAAGAAAGACAGGACGAAGACATCACATCTCTCGACACTAGCCCTGCAACATCAACCATAAGCCACAGTGAGGTTGAGCTTCAAGTCCCCCCCCTATTGCTACATCCACGCCATCCAAACCTACACAGATAGCAGCACTTCTACAGCATTTAAACAAAGCAGATTCTTCTCTCAGTCTCTAGAGATCTCTTCCAACGCGACGACTAACAAAAGAAGAAAATCTTAATACTCATTTAGTTAGGAGAAAATGAAACAGTCAAACGCAGGAAAACGACGCAGAACTGACGAATTTTCCCAGTTTCAGGGGTAGGCCTACATATATATGTTTGTACATGTGTAAATGAGTAGTAAGTGCACTGTGATGATATTTATCAAGGACCCTAATTTTCTGTGATTCTATATTCAAGCTTCAATATCTTTGCTTTGAAGATGCGTACAATGATGCCACCACATGAGTGTTTTCTTTATCCTACTTTCATCATGCTACCGTAATTTTGTCAGAATCAAAGGATAAAATCATGTTCTATTTTTACTTAAAATATTTGACCCCTTAACAACTTTGCATAATTACTATACAGTTTTATGGCAACTGTAAGTCTGTAACAGTACCCAGTACAGTTTCACGATCGCTTCTACGTGCCCACACTATATTGATCGTTCAGCGTGTGTGATTTTCTGTGAGATCACAAGAATAGTTTTTGTTTACTGCCTCAGTTTATACGCTTAAAAAACGAAGTGTGATAAGAAAACAACTGTAACTGGGCATCGGCAGTGAACCGGTGGCGCTGATCCGGTGACCGGGGTCACAGAGTATCGGGTTACGGGGAGTGCCGCGAGCTAGCGGTTTGACTAAGTTGGCGGTCGGAAACAGCCGTGATAAAAATATGATAAAAGGTCACCTTTTTTGAAAAAAACTTTTAAATTAATGTTTTTGGCTCACCAGACTCTAGTGATTGTTACGACTAAATGACCAATCGCAGCCCCCCCCCCCCCCTCCCATAATATTCTAGCAACGTAAATTATTATAACTCATTTTTGATCTTCAGTTTTACAGGTTGAACAGTCAATAGAAATAGAATGCCATTAATTATTCGGCATTCTCCGGTTTGACCCAAAGAGTACTGGATATCGACAATGACTGAAATAAAGTCAACCCTGTGTAAGACGGCCGCCCATTGTCAAGGAGAAAAGCGGCCGTACAACACAGGTGGCCGTTTTAGGCAGGGCATATCAAGATGAAGAAAACAAACCATTCCCATCTGAGGTCCCAATCGAAAGTAGGCGCATTGTTGTTGTTGTTGTTGTCGGTTTGTATTTCGTTATTCTTCTTAATTTGTTGCTGATTTTGCACAAGGGTGACAATAAAACGAAATGTATCAGAAGAGGAAGACCGAGTGCCATGTTAAAACATCACCACTTGGAGAACGAGCGACGCTTCTGTTGTGTGTCAAAATAAGGTGGCCGCGGCTGCATTGGACAGGTGCCCGTTTTACACAGTTAAATTATACAGAAAAAATGCAAGGGGGGGAAATGGAAAGAGGCCGTTTGTACAGGGGGCCGTTTCATAGAGGTGGCCGTCAGGGCAGGTTCGACTGTACTTGGTATCAAGTTTTATCCGAAAAAGCAAGAGATGTGCTTCTATTTTTGTAAGTACAAAATGAGTAGTAAAATTCCACTTGATTTTAACAATGGGTGTGTGTGTGTGTGTGTGTGTGTGTGTGTGTGTGTGTGAGTGAGTGGATGTGCATGTGTGTCCTCCTGACCAAACCAAAATATGGGGGGTTTTAGGGGAGCATTACTTCCTCAATTTAATTGTTATCTTATGTTTTAAAGTTAGGTTTGATATCTCTTGCTCGCCAAATGCCAACAAACATCATATCGGCATCTGCATGCTGCATTGAGTAATCGAGTAGAACTAGACGTAATCTCGTCGGTGCAGCCAAAATTCATACGTTATCGTTGGGGCCAAAATTATAATTTAGACAAGACCTGCACAAAAGGCCATCATCAATAACCGTCATCTGTTCAACGATTCATTCCCTTAGATTGTTTGCATTTTTCCCCCATCATATTCACTTTACTTTCAATATATCATTGTCATCGATCTATCTGTGCAAACAATATGCCGTAGTCAAACAATTTCATTGGTCTTAAAATACATTCTAACCCATGAAAGTCAAAAGAGCACAGTTAGAGTAAGAGATAGATTTGCTTCTAATTCTACTACAACTGCTTTACTATTCGGACTCGAGTCTGAATATGAAAAAATGTTATTCGGACTCTGATTCTTGTCCAACATGACATCACTTCCGACTTACGACTTCCTGAGACTCGTGACTCCGGCTTCCTGTCCTGCCTCACTCGTGACTCGCCTCAGGCTGGGTAGAGACCGGGATCACTTCGGGCAAAATGGCGTTTTGTGCAGGAGCGGAGTTTTTATCTTACGATGAATTTGAGGCCAGCCTGAAAAGTTACAGCGCTTCTAATAAATGTTTATTTGTCAAGAGGTCACCAGAAGCAATTAAAGATGGCTCGTTAGCATGTGTCAGGGTCGGAAGGGCGGCCTGCACACGTGTCGCTGTGTGTGCGTGTCGGGGAGGGGGGGGGCACTTTCGGTCCAGGCGTTGAACGTCGCATACGCGTCTGTCTTTTATCCCCCGGCAACTGATCATTATTACAATAATAAGCTAGTCTTGACGTAGATCTAAGTAATGAATTGTGCGCTGGTCTATGGAATCAAAAGTTGCCGTATGCTCGGCTCTACACAGCAACACAACTTTTTCTTGGTAAACAATCGAGATGACACAAGCTTGTGTATTTGAACGAATCGTTTTTTTTTACACAGCTCATAATGTGTAGGTGCCAGGTGGTCTGCTAATCTTCAGTTTTACCTTTTTCTACAACAACAAAAGTGGGAAACATGGGGGGGGGGGGGGGGTATCAATGAGGCGGCGGGCATTGGATCGGCAGATAAGGTGTGGGGGAAACATGGCGGAAAAATTGAAGCACTGAACGTTAGATCTATAGAACGAAGCCACTTTCTTTTTTCGGACCCGAGTCCGAATAACATTTTTTCATATTCGGACTCCAGTCCAAATAGGAATTTTTTTTTATTCGGACTCGAGTCCGAATATGAAAAAATGTTATTCGGACTCGAGTCCGAATAACGACGGCCTCACACAATCATTAAACAAAGATGCAATGAAATATATAATATAATCTAGATCTAGATTTAAGATTTAAGATCTAAGGAAAGATTATGATTAAGTTACCATGCAGTTACACCAGGCAAGGTGATTTTGTTTCAATACTTGCAGAGCAGGCAATGAAAATTACCTGGAATTGGCTCTGGAGCAGTCCCTTGAAATCTTCCTGGTGGTCTTGCGTCTATGAGCACATATTCTCCCGATTTGACATTGCTGAGAACATCATCAAATGATTTGACCAAATTGGAACGAAATTGAGCTTTGAAGACACCTCTTTTCATTTCACTGGCTTCCTCTGTAACAGTACCCCCTGCCTTCAACCACTTTTGTAAACCACCTTCAAGGATGGACACTTTGTCATGCCCAAAGCACCTGAATGTCCACCAAACTCTTTGAGCCGAAAAGACGGGGAACATCGGGTTGTTGTCATAAACTACGACATGACTTTCGTTGTCGATGCCTCTTGACCCAACATATTCCTCAAATTGTTCCACAGAAGGGAGCATGTGGGGTAAATCATACTGTGACGTGGTATCAGCACATCCATTTATGTCAAAGTAGGTAGCACCTGGAATGTGTTGCTTGGTGTACTCAGCCCTGGCATCTCTCCCGGAATTCTCCATGTGAAAGGTGCCATCAATGATCCTCAGATTGGTCCACCCAGACTTCAACGAATCCTTTAGCCATTCAGTGGTTACAATGGTTGGTGTCGTTTCACCCGACACCATATCTCTATAGGTTTTTTTGTACATGTTTCAGGAGCACCAGGTGAATCACAGCGGTCAGCACTGGGGCGAGCTTGTCCGGCTGGTGTTTATATCCCCCAAGTTGATTGATTGAACATTTGAGTCCACGACCTTGACATTGTTATGGTTGACAACTTGCGCAGTAGCAAAGAGACCATCGAGTCACGTTCTATTAATTATTCAGGGGTACAACGACATGACGTACAATAATGCTCATAAAAAGGCTCTATAGACTCACGCTATAAATTTAAAAGGTGTGGGCATGAAAAGACCCCACTGACCCTCGATTTCCTGAGGAAATGTGGAAAATTAATTAAGCAAAATATAATAACGAAACTTCAACCGTACATGTTTGAGAAAAGAAAGTAGGATAGGCTTAGGCCTATTGTTTATATTAACGACTGAACTCAAAATATGCCAGTTAGGTTTTGTAGTTTAGTGGTTCATCATTCTAGTGGGGGGGGGGGGTTTCGCTTAAAATAGCCATCAATAATTTTGCAGCCTCTCCATTACAAACCAATACCTTGAATATTGTTGAGATGGTAATAAAAACAAGAAAAAGAATACCTCATGCAGGGTGGATTTCTACCATCATGAGAGCAAACTCAATAATATGTATTAACACAACAAATTTTGTATAGTTTTTTCTCTTTGTCGAAGCCTAACAACTATTGTTCGCTGCTCTTTGAAAGGGAATATATGCCAAATAGTACTTTTTTTGACTCACATCAAGGACGTTATCTGACTATCACCAATCAGTGAACAGAATAACATCAACTTTAAATTATTTTCAGATAAAATATTGCCTGAACATGTAACACTTTTCTCTATATTTTCCTTGATCGTTATTAGCCTATAACATGAGGAGCATTAAAAAACAACAACAAACAAACGAACAACCCCCCCCCCAAACAAAGCAAAAACACAAACAAAACAACAACTCCAAACCTTTCTTGTTCTCTTCGCTGGATGGTTCACCACGCGTAGAATCCCTGGTATATTTACGGAAACGACTGCTTGCGTTGACTGAGTGGACTTCACTGACGGCTTCAAGATAGAGGCTTTTAAAGGCATAATTTCGTTTTATTCTTTTCCTCCGAGAACATTGCCTTTGACACTCCAAGTTATCTCTTTGCTGTTACAGTGCATGAGGCCTGTTGCTGAGGAAAAAAACCAACATCGTCATAATGAATGCAGGTCGAGGCAATAGAAATAATATCAATCAGATAGATCTAGTGGTACCACAATTCGTGCCAAATGATTTTGCTGATGGTAAGAAGTGCTTTCAGTGAGTTGGCTCATCGTAGATCTAGATCTATATAATCTAGATCTAGATCTAGAATCTAGATATAGATCTAGTCTAGGTCCCCTTTACATTTTTCAGTCAATTGATGTTTTATGAACCTACTGTACAAGAATAAAGGGAGGACTTCCATAACGGGCGATCAATATGAGACGCGAGTAAAGATCTTGGGTCAGGGTTAAAAAGTCTCTTTTTTATTGTGTTTGTAAAATTGTTGGGGTGGTCGCTCCTTACAAAAGTCCTTCCAAAGTAGATAATCCATCCCCAAGATTCTAGTACATAGAAATCTAGATCTATTTAGCGAATTCGGCTGGACATGTAAATGTTTTAGTTAGGCCTGTACAAATTTCGCTAGATGATCCTACGAACACGATAGGTTAGGGAAGTACAGGATAGATCTATATACTGGCCACATATATATATATATTATATGCTATAAATACATACAAAGAATAAAAAAACATGTAGGCTATTTATAAGAAAAAAAATTTAGATCTAGAACATGAAAATCTATTCGCTAAATTCATGTTTAGCTGTGAATGCTAGACTGTAAAAGGACGAATTGATTCTAACTCGACATGTTTCCGGCACTACTGAAAGTTGAATTAGTGAAGAAGATATGAGTGAAATAGGAAAGTTGATCATGGTAATAAGACCTTTAAGAAGAAGTGTCATGAGATGCTTTGAAACTTCATGCAAGCAGTAGCAGTTGTCATTCGCTCATTTGTGTCAATTGTCACCATAATCTTGCAGAATTCTCTTCTATTTTTTGCAGTTTTTGTGGTCACAAATATAGTTGTAACCCAGATCGAACTACCTGTACTCGGACTTGCTCCCCACACTAATTTTTAATGGTACAGTGGAGTCCACTTATATACAATGGAACTCGGATTCAACAAGCTCGGATTCAACGAGATGAGATAGATTCCCGTTTTTTTTCTTCTTTAAAATCAATAAAAATAGCCCGGATTCAACTAGCACTTAAATTAGCGAGCTCGGATTCAACGAGGTCGCTTCCAGGGTGAACAGCCCCTGCAGACGTGGCTTCGCTAATTTTTCTCCCAGAACGAACTTTATCTATTCCCGGAAAATATCCATTGCACCTGCATCGTGAACCATTATTCACTTACCCGATTGCAAACTACCAATCAGCGGCCTTTTTTCATACCAACACGTGCGTTGTTGGCATGCGCATGTATCTGCTCTGGCGTGTGTCGGGGTCGGATGGGCGACCTGCATGCGTGTCGGGGAAGGGGGGGGGCAATAGCGGTCCCAGCGTTGGACATCGAAGATACAAACGCGTCAGTCTTATTACAATGATAAGCTAGTCTTGAGGTAGATCTACATAATGAATTGTGCGCTGGTCTATGGAATCAAAAGTTGTCGTATGCTAGGCTCTACACAGCAACACAATTTTTTGGTAAACAATCAAGATGATACAGGCGTGCATTTGAACGAATCAGTCATTTTTTTGTACACAGCTCATAATATGCAGGTATTGCAGGCACTACTTGTGACTTCTCTTTGCACATTACTTGCTCAGTGCCTGTAGTTATCTACACAAAACCTCAAAACCTAACGAACACTCGGATTGAACGAGATTTTAGGTCTGGCCCGGCGACCTAGTTGAATCCGAGTTCCACTGTAACAAGTCCTGAAATAACGAGAAGTCTGTTATAAAAAGACATTATTCTAAAACCCCGTTTTTATCCCTTTATCTTTGTACAAAAAATACTGCTATAGCACAATATCAGACAAACATGCAAGTCGGTTATAGGGCATATAGGCAATTTGATTTATACATTATGCAAAACCTCGCCAGTTGAGAAACTTGTTGGTGATCTAGTAAAACAAAGAATGTGAGAGCACAGGTGTGCCAATAATGAAGGCTGGAACGAATTAGTAGGGAGGGTGTAGCATGCGTAGATGAACGGGACGCATCGCGTGATAGGCCTGCCTAGTCTTGATTATCTAGGCCTACCATGCCTTTCACTTCTCCGATTTGGGGATGGAGAGGTCACAGTGCTGTGATGGATGGAGCAAATGTGTGACGTGCGCAAGCAGACGGAACACACCTCATGGTGTGGAGGAGAGGGGGACAACACAGCAGGCGAGTTAGCCTAGAGCCCTTTCTTTTTCATCGCCAACGCCAAGCTGTCAACATCGCTAGCGCTAGAGAAAGAAACCTGATTCGATTTTTTATCAAATAAGGTCAAGTTGAACTAAAGCATCATCAGGGGAGATAACAAAAAGAAATAAACAGAACACCAAACTCGTGAATAAGGCCTACTTTATTATTTCCCTTGAATTTATAACGAGAAGTCTGCTAAAAAGGACATTTTGCACCAGTCCCTTCCCTCTCATTAGTCTAGCCCCCCTAGGAAATCGCGGTCTTGCGGCCGCAAGTGAGGCCGCGTTTTTCGTCGAGTTCCGCGATAAACCCGCAATTTTTTTCAATTTTCGCAATTTCTTGCAATTTAAGGCAAAATTACATCAACGCTTTAATTTTAACAGAATTTTTTATACGAAATTGTGTGAGTAAAGAACCGATAGAATGAAAATTCTTGTTGAAAAAGTGCAAAACATGACATGTCGCAAATGTTGTTACGGTAACTTGCTTAATTTTGCATTTTTCTCGCATAATTTGGCCATCTAAATTTGCATAATTCTACGGGGAAAGTGTAACAAAGAAACAATGGACGTCAACATGAACTTGTGACAGAAGCATCGCTCTTCGTGTGGTGGCGACCCATGCGTTTGTTTTACCATAGCACTTGGTCCTCCTTGTCTGACATATTTAGTTTTATTGTCACCTGGGCGCAAAAGCAGTAACAAAAGAAAAAAAAAACAACGAAAATAACAACAACAACAATGCGACTACCTTCGGTTGGGACCTCAGAAAGGAAGGGTTTGTTTTCTCAGAAAGGAATAGTTTGTTTTCTTCATCTTGATCAGTCCTGCCGAAAACGGCCACCTGTCTTATACGGCCACTTTTCTCCTTGACAATGGGTGGCCGTCTGACACTGGTTCGACTAATGAAAAACTAGCCTTAAACATTTTCATGGTAGCTTTTTTTGTACTCTGTGAGATCTAATTAATATTGTTGTTAGGTAGGGTGTGGAAACAAAGTATTGAAAAAATTTACTTTAAAGTTTCCCTGTTAGATCTGAATCTAGTTCTTCTCCTAATGAATATTGTTTGATCTGTCAGCCATGATATTGTCTCTGAAACCTTTGACAACACACAATGTACTACACATGTGCAAAGTGAAAAGCTGTTGAGACACTTATAAACATTTTCTTTCTATATATATCATATATATAGGCCTATATCTTTCAAATGTTTTCAATGCAAATTCAGAATTTTAATTTTAACTTTAATAAAAGGGGGGAGGGGGGGTATTTTGGGACCTCATTTATGATTTTAAAATCTCTGGTATTATAGGTGAGTGTGTATGGTATACAACAAGCAACAGAAGTGTAGTTTCTTTTGAGACCTTTGAGAATTACATGGACAGAAGAGAAATCAATTGGGGGGGGGGGGGGGGGGGGAGTGCTGAAAGAAGCTCATGTGGGTCGCTTATTAATAGGAACAATCAGGCGTTGACAAATGCAGTTTTTAGAACACTTGACTTGACAGAAGTTTTGAACGTCTTGGTCGCACTGGAAAAATAGAAGGGAAATAGGGCAGGGCAGGGGTAGTTGACCCTGAGAAACTTATTTGGAAAAACCTGAACAGATGAGTGACTGGGAAACCCCAATATTATATATGATTTTTGAGAGCATCTGAGCTGATAAATGAATGTTGTATAAAGAACCATGATGGCTGACGTCTGTTTTTTACTGTTTAAGATCTGGCACTTTATGATGGTGATGGTAAATGGTATACTTTTTTAAAGGTCCCTTCTAGGTTTTTGGAAACTATTTTGTTTTTTGTTTGTTTTTTAACCTACCATACCATGATTTCAGATTCTCCAACTGAGCGAGACCCAGGTCCAGGCTATGATGGTGGCTATATTGCTGCTGGATGGAGGATGATCAAGTCTCTGGTGGTCGAGCTATTTCCATTTCTACACTCACGGGAAGTATTTTTCCTTAGGTATTCAGTTTTCATTTTTGCGCTTGCTTTATCATATGTTAGTCTTTCAAGCTAAATTGCTAAATGGTGATAGTCCATCAATTTTCAAGCAGATTTCGGTGGGGAGGTGACCAATATTTGTGATGTTTTTGCAGAAATAGTCTTTCCCTGCGGCCATTGTCCTTTCTCCTGATTAATCTTTCATTGTTTAGTAGTCTCCGCCTAAACACATGGTGCTTGTGGGGGGGCTCCTTAGCGTGTGTTTATACGGAGCGCACGTTTATATGAACCTTTGCAAAGGGAGGAAGGGACGCAGTCATCTCATTTCCTTAATATATTCTAGTGACCTCCCTTTGGGGTGGGGGTCACTTTAGCCGATAATGTGAAGACATGTGACTGTTTTGTGAAGGATACAAAGGCATTGAACGGGTGTGGGGGGGGGGGGGGTAAGAATGACGGACTCTATGTAATGATATGCACCCTGAAATTGCGGGAACACATAGCCTAAAAGGAAACTGTTGGTGATAGTCGTACAGATGGAGCAGCCACGTGGCTTTCAAAGTTACCATCCCCAACCGTAAATGCATGGACGACATCAGAATCACAGATCTCTACATTCAGAGAAACCTTTCTCTTTTGATTTGTTGAACAAGTACGTAAGTTCTTCGAGTGCAGCTGATTAGGCTTACATGACTAATCTTTAATCCTATAGAGGCCTATCTAGTGTTTTACAGCATTTACACGTGTTGCGCGTCATAGGCCTAGGTCTGACTAAACATTACATGCAGTCATCCAAACACCAGTCAGAAACCTTCTCTCAGAGATCCATATCCAGTGACCAATAAAAAAAATTTTCAGCCCCCCAACCCCCAAACATTTCACCAACCAGTCCTAGACCTATGATTCATTGAAAAGTTGTGTGTGAAAACGCTGTCCATCACTCTCTTTGTTGGGCGTGAGGGGCAGTCTCACCAAACATCCGGTTTTCTAGGCTTGTCTGTGCAAGCTGTGCTGGTTGTAGTGAAAATTTCCCCTTGACAAGCTTTACCTGTCGACGTGTTTAGTGGATTGGAGCGTGCGTTTAGAGGGAGTGACCGTTTGTAGTCTAAGTTATATTGTAAAAAACCTATCAGATGACGAAAGTGTGTGTTTGAGCAGAGCGCACTTTTGTATGGCGATCATTTAGTGGAGACTACTGTAATAACAAGACAGTTTTCTTTTTCAATAATTTAGTCAAGTTGCTATTCTTTTTTATATTCTTACACTGAACAACAATTATTTTTTCTGATGGATTATGTTAAAAATGTTTGGAGATGAACTGACATGTGTTGTTGGTAGGCATTAAAATTAATGACTTGTAGGCACTGCTTCCTTCTGTGTCTCTGTTGGTTCTGTCTGTCATATTCTCTGGGGGTTTTTGGGTTTTTTTGTTTTTTCTTAGAATGAAATGGTCATTATCGTGTTTGTATGCTTTTCTTTGACATAAACTGGAACAAGAAAAGTTAAAGCAGATGTGATTACAGAATTGTAACTTCTCTATTGGTTAGGAATCCTTTCTAGTCTCTGTTTCGCTGCTAATGCCGTTCTCGTGAGTATGACTGAAGTTATCTGTACTATGCTTATTTTGCTCCACAGCCTCAACAGGACACAACAATGCATATTGGAAAATCCGTGCACATCGGTTTTCTACTCATTTATTGCTGTCTTTGGAGTGTTTCCGATGCTGTTCTTTCTCCTGACGATATGCAGTGTTTTCACCTTATCGGTTGTTGGATTTGTGTGTTGTCAAGGTCAGTGGAAAATATTGAACATTGTTCGGTATAAAACAAGTATTTCACTGTGGAAGTTTCATAAAGTGAAGTTTGTCATTGTCACAGGCAATCCACTCAAGTCCAAAATTTGAGAATTTTAAAATTTTACACCCTCCCAAAGCTCTATCAAAGATGCACCTTTCAGCATCACCAAAATGCCGTTTAACTCACTTCAGACGGGTCACACAACAGTTGCGTGACCCCCGCCGCGACGCTCGCGACGGGTCTCACAAGCCCTGCGTGACCAACTTTGGAATTTTTTTTTCGCTCTACAAATCACGCACGGATCGCGAGACCCGCCTCGTACCCTTGTTTGGCCAAGCCTGAGCTACTTAGACTTCGTTTCGTATCTCTAGGGCCGGTAGTTTTTAAGTTATTGAAAGTGAAGGACAGTGACCCCAACTGGGGTTGAACAGACCGGAACTCGCGCTTTGTTTTTTTCTATACAGCTGATAGTAATCCGACAGCCGCGTCGTAGTAACGGTCGAAGAAGTCGCATGAACAAGAATCACATAATTTCGCCGTTTTCTATACTTCAGTGCGTTTTACTAGTTCTAGTGTCTCAGAATATGATGTATCTAATTGTTAGGATCCTGGATATGTACCCGAACACGGCCCGAGTCGTAGTTCTAGGGCTAGATCTAGCACTAGTACCGGTGTTGTTTTTCGCGCGACGAAATCACAACGTCGTGCCGTACATCTGTCTCATGTAATTCAGTGTATGGGTCTGAATCAATGCACAGACCAGCTTTTATATTTTCACCAAACACTAACACATGTATACAAATCAAACCAGAACACTTTGAACTTTTATTTTTGTTGTTACAGTGAATTTCATTCTACTTGTCACGTCTCTGAAAATTTTTCAGAAAATAAAATTCATGCCAATTTTTAAAAAATCATACAAATTAAAGTATTAGACTTAGACAACTTTAGTTTTTTATATTAGTTTAAGCTTGAATGTTACTTTACTATGTCAAAAAATGATTACAATAGGGTAATTCTGAGAGTTGTGGTGATTTATTGAAATACCCCCCAAAACGCCAGTCTTCAACGCTTGTGACTGGTGAAAGGGCCCAGTCGCAAGTGAGTTAATGCTATAGTCAAGGCTTACAATGTTCTTGCTTTTTATGCTTCCTGATAGGAACAATACAACAAAAACTTGTTTTTATTCTCTGGTGTAAAAAGTACCTAAATGGGCTTAAGTGGATTACTTTCGACACCAACGAATTGATGTATTCAAATTCAACTTTTCTAGAGACAGCATAGCTTTTTTGGTTTGTCTTCATGGACTGAAATAAACATTTATTTCCTACTGGATTGTGATTATGCTAACTTAAATAGTCCATGGCTGAGCCAGTTATGTCAGAGCTCTCACTATTTTGTTGTTTCGACTCATGGACAATAGAAAAGATTAACTAATTACAGTAGAACCTATCCAAGATGACTGCCCTTTGTCAAAGAGAAAAGAGGTCATCTTAGACAGGTGGCCCTAATGGACAAAGTCATTATATATATATATAGAGAGAGAGAGAGAGAGAGAGAAAAAAACATGAGGAGAGATGTGGGAAGTGGTCATCTGTTCAGGTGATTGTCTTGGAAAAGTGGTTGGTAGAGCAGGTTTGACTGTACCCAAACTGACACGCAGCTTTGTGAAAATTAGTTGGGGATTTGACTGACTTAATGCACTGACAGCCAATACTGACTCCGGGTCGGTAGGCTTAAACATATGAGAAACACCGAACCCACACCCCTGTCAGTTTTGTTTTTTCACTATTTCTACGTTACAGTACTAGCATTTACTGACCTGTGATCGGTCTTGATAGTTACTGATCTAAATTGTGTCGATGGGGGTAAAACACTTGCATTATATATTTTTGGCGGGTGCTACTTGCCCGATCTCGGGTGGCTAGTGTCAGGCTACTCGGCCGCTACTGGCCCTTGGGGATTTCTGCAACCTCGGGTGGCTAGCATTTTCTGCCCACCCGGAGCCGGTCACCTAGATCTAGTCTTAGTCTTATGCAGCGTCGTGATGTTATCAAAGATTGTCTCACTACTACCAAGATGTTTCAATTGCCCCATCTCGCGTCCGAATGAGACTTGGGCGCTAGATCTACCTGGTCTCAGTGCGTGACGGCCCGTGATACGAGTGTAAACAAACGTTCCTACGCTGAGTTGAAAGCGAGAAATTTTGTCTGCTGGCAGAGAGAGAGAGAGAGTGAGAACGAGAGGGAAAGAGAGAAAGAGAGTGAGAGAGAGAGAGAGTGAGAGAGAGAGAGAGAGAGAGAGAGAAAGAGAAGAGGGGGGGGATGTTTTTGTTATTTTATTATTAGTACTACTGATTCCTGTCGTTTTCTCTCTGCGTCGGTTCAAAAGCTGACCCGGTGCATTACAGTCATTATTGTACATATTATGGCCTGTCCCATCTTCATGCATGACATATATTATAATAATGTCAATTTGGTCTGATCTTTGCCATCAAAGTCAAACTTTCACGTTGGAAATGTAACCAGTAACAATCAGACAAGACTATTAGATCTATAGATCTTTGAGCCTTTTCTAAAAGGTCGTCTTTCTGAGGTACAGTTCTCTTTGTAGATGTTTTCAGGGAGAAAAAAGAATGGAAATCCAATCCTATTTGGTGTCAATAGATCCAGTGAATGCCACTGGTAAACTGTGAGAAAAGTTAGATAGATGGAGAAAGTCGGGTTTTTTTCCTTTTAATAATGTAAAGAAAAGGCCTCATGTATGACATGGCTTGTACTGTAATATAACTTAATAACGCGAACTCCCATCAAACCTTATTTAGGCCTCACATAATAGCCAAAATAACCAAACTTGTGTAAAATATAGGTTTTTTTTCCCCATTATTAAAAAAAACACAAAAAAACCTCTTCACATCCATTTTCCATCACAGCTGTAGAATCTACGTGAAATTTGATGTACATGTATCTAGAATAAATAATGTAAGGTCATTTTCCTTGTATTCATCTCGTAATCTGCTGTTAAAAACCTGTGCCGCCTGTACATGTCTGACTGAATCTATTAATAAATGTGGGTTTTTTTTCTTTTATTTTGACTCATGGACCTTCTTCTACTTGTACTCGTGGATACATGCAATAATAGAGAATAGAATAATGAGCCTGGCTTCAGTCTTCAAACCGTTGTAGTTATAACATACTCTAATTTACGGCATGGTCCACTTCTCCCAAGGAATGTGTATCAAAAAGTTTGGCATCAATTCCATAGTTCTAGTTCACCCCTACTGAATGTTAGTTTATTTTTCTTTAAAAAAACAAACGGTGGGCGTTTTTATTTTCACTTTCGTTGAATGTGGATTCTTCATCAGTATTGTTCAAAAAGGAGTGCTTAAACAATATAAATTATAAAACATAGCAGGCCTACAAGTATTCACGCCTTCACACCGCCAACTGTCTGAGTTGTACGGTCCTAAATTAAATAGCAGGCCTACAAGTATTCACACCTTCACACCGCCAACTGTCTGAGTTGTACGGTCCTAAATTAAATTTGCCACGCCATACCGACAGCGAACTGACTGCCAGAGGTACACACTGCACACGACACACAACACCCAACTTGACTAGAGAGAGAGAGAGAGCGAGTGAGAGAGAGAGAGAGCGAGTGAGAGAGAGAGAGAGAGAGAGAGATAGAGCGAGAGAGAGAGAGAGAGAGAGACACAGAGAGAGAGACAGAAAGAGAGACAGTGACAGAGAGAGGACCAATCGGACTCTTGACTTGGAGGACAAGGAGCGATTCTGTCTAAAGGAGCATGCGCAGAAATCTCCAGGGGCCAGAAGCGGCAGGCTAGGCAGGGCTAATCAACCAAATTCGTTCGCCCGGAACATGCACAGAAATCCCCACGGGCCAGTAGCGCCAGGCTACTCGACAAGATCGGGCGACTAGCCTGATGCTATCCTCCCGAGATCGGGCAACTAGCCACTCCATATATTTTTCCCCCAGCAGTTACAGAAAGTTAAGGCATACTATTTAATGCCCGTTTAATTTGGTAGCTGCTTTCCTTGACCTATTAGTATAGCATCTGTGTTTTATTTTTTGGTGAGATGGGTTACTAAGGGTATTTTTTCTGAAAGAGTTTATGCGATTTTATGTTGAACATACAGATCGTCCGGTCCGACCTTTAAATAAAAAGCTGTTTGTTTCTATGGGTTCTGATACTGAACAAGGCATACCAGGTGGTCACAAAAGTGACTGAGAATACTTAGATCCCAATTATTGTGTTAACACTTTGCCATCATAAGGCTCATATAGTAAAAACCCTTCCCATCAAAGGGAAAGGCATTTTGGGGAAAATCCAAAGAAACAGGATGGTAAATATCGCCGATCGGCGAGATGTGACCGCAAAGTGTTGAAAAGAGTATAAAATGTGCCTTTATGGGGCTGCTTCATGCTGTTCCTCAACCAGTAGTTCAAGTAATTCCAATTTTATTTTTGTTCTTAATCATCATACAAACAAAAGTAGAAAATCTATTTTCACCTCAATAAAACACAACATAAAATTGAAAAATAGTGAAAATTATTAGTGTATACCTTGAAAAGTTATCTGATGATGAGTATTCTTTAAAAAACACCCTTTTTAAATGCTGGCAGCCACGGTTAAATTTGGATGTCAACCTACAGCAGTCAGTGAGTTGAGAAGGTTAATAGGTTAAATCCAAGTTTTTCGAGTAAATTCTCACAACTGTTAAGATCTTGATTCAGAAAGTTCCTTCTAAATTTTTGGCAAAGAATGAAATCAGATTTGCAAAGTGTGTTTTTAATGAATTTTTTAAAAATCTCAGGTATTAACTTGATCATCTCTTTGTTTAAAAGTACAGTCAAACCTGCCGTGACGGCCACCTCTATAAGACGGCCACCTGTACAAACGGCCACTTTCCATTTCCCCCCTTGCGTTTTTTCTATATAATTTAACTGTGTAAAACGGGCACCTGTCCAACGCGGCCGCGGCCACCATATTTTAACACACAACCCATCTCACACTAAGCAATTATACCTGTCTTAGACGGCCACCTTAGTGACTCCATTACGTTTTGTCATAAATTGTGCATTGGCTCCTGGTGTTGTGGGCGAGCCGTTATAATACAATTACCTGTCGTTGTTAGGCCCCTCCCACTGTTGAACCAATTTTCAGCTGCTGGTGAGGTTAGCGTGAGATCCCTCATTCCCATAAGCCCCGCCCAGAACTCACATACAAATCGTAAGTGAGATGAGTGGTCACTGTTTACCCAGTTTGTAACAAAGGACGTCAACATGAACTTATGACAGAAGCGTCGCTCGTTCTCCGAGTGGTGGCGACTCATGTGTTTGTTTTAACATGGCACTCGGTCTTCATCGTCTGATACATTTAGTTTTATTGTCACCCTTGCACTAAATCAGCAACAAAATAAAAATTGCAAACGAAATACAAACCAACAACAACAACAATGAGGCTACTGAAAACTTTCGATTGGAACCTCAGATGGGAATGTTTTGTTTTCTTCATCCTGATCAGTCCTGCCTAAGACGGCCATCTGTCTTATACGGCCACTTTTTTCCTTAACAATGGGTGGCCGTCTTACACAGGTTTGACTGTACTTGCTTGTACTTGTATTAATTAATGCCTTAACATATTTCTATTCATTGGTCCACAGTTGTGATGTTTTGCCTGGCTGCAACTGTATTCACAGGAGTTATGTTCTTCATAGTGAGCACCAGCTTTCTTATTGCCTGCTCATGTGGTGCTACGATTCATACATTTTATTTATGGAGGTGGATGAAGAACTATATGCTGCAGCACGGAAAGGAAATACTCATTGAGATTCTTGACAATGCAGGAGCTCCTGGGCTGTGGTTGAAAAACTATTTATTTAATGAGGAGCCAAGAGACGACTAACAGCTTTTGTATTAAAGTATCCATTACACTTCGTTAAATACGACAAAATGATTTAAAGTCCACATTCTATTTTCCCCTTCTTAAATTGATTTGGTCACATAAATTTGTCAAACACTTCTTTTAGTTACACCAGACAAGTGTCAGAGGAGATGATGGCAAATACAATTTCCATTTATCTACTTCATGATAATTAAAGCTACCAATGTATGAATGACTGGGGTGATACAGCGATTAACGTATGGTGTCTCACGTAAGTAATAGAACAAACGTTACTTGAGTTTCCAAACAATAAAGAGCGAAGATAGCAGTTTAGTTTTTCTTTACTGTTTCTTTTGTATCAATTAATTTTTAATGCCACAATGTTTGAGTTATTTTTTTCTTTTTTTCTTGCTTGGCTACTTTGATGCGTTAATACAATAAGAGCAAAGTTTCTGATGAAATGGGTGCCATAGAAATTATGTGCAATGTTGTGTGGAGTCAACACTGTTTTGGACACTGAAACAGGAAGGTTTTATGATGAAGTAGAGTAGTAAAAGAATGTCTTACTGATGAATGGAGTTCACCAAGAATAATGTACTGGAAAAAAAAATAAAGCCTCTCTTTAAGTAAACACTGGCTCAAGGCTAGATTTGCTCCTTCATTGCAGTTACTGTGCTCAACCAAATGGCTGTGATTTGACATAAAATATGCTTTTCGAATATTATGTAGTTACAGTGTCATCTGTTCTTAATTAATTATGTGGATGGGGCTAAAAACACGTACATTTAAAAACAACCAAAAACAAAAGCATCAGTCCTACAAATTTTTCATCTATATATATTATATTGATCTTTCTTTTTCTCTTCCATATTTTCTTCTTGGGGTTGTACAGTGGAACAGCAGTAATAAAAACTAGGAACTGGCACTGGGCTGGTTCTGACTTTCATATTCTTGTGTCTTGTTCTTTCAGAAATCAGGGAGAGAATCGACAGGCATGTCTTGCCAAGAGCAACATTTATCATATTTTATGTACATTGTAAATTTGTGTTTGTGATGGCAAGATGAAGTAGTTAGGAAAACCTGCAGCAAGTAGGCCTACTAGTAGTAAACTGCAGGGGATGCTGAAAATGAATGAGTGCAAAGCCTGTCTTGGTATGCAAGAACAAACAAAACACAATCTGTGCTCTATTCTTCAGACAAGGTCTTGATCATTTGCTCCCAGTACTTAAATTTTTTTTAAAGGAATTGTTTGTTGTTCTTAGCTTGAATCATAATATGATTTTTTTTAAATGGTTTCCAGCAATTTGCATTGTTGTAAAACATTAAACCATGGTGCTCAAATGCTTGCTTGAAACCTGTTTACTATACTTTCCCTACACTAAACAGTCTACCTAGTTGTAGTGAACCTGCTGTTCGAAAGTTTTCATAGTGGAATTTCAAACTGCTGATATTCTTTTCAATTTTTTAAAATTATTCCTTGGTGCCTTCTCTACATAAAGATCTAGATCTAATACAGTATTGATGAGAATGTTACCTATTCCACTTATCAAGATTATAATATATATACTAAAAAAAATTGTTTTTTTTACTCTTGTTTATAAAGCCGATTATATTTTACATTAGTAGTTTCTTTGTGAAACTGTAGCAATATCCGATTTGAAAAGATAATTGTCTTTGCAATCTTTTGCAATTTGAAATATTATCCAGTTGTATCTTTGGAGTAATGTACCAAAACATTCCTACTTTCTTGAGCTGTGATTGAAATTTTGTTTGTTTAAGGCATGGCATGTGTGGTATACCATATGAAAGTGAAAGTTCACTACCTCTTCAGTTCAATTTTTTTTTACACTGAAAACATATTCTCCTGAGATTTCCTTTTGTTTTTCAATTTTCTTTACTTTACAAATATATAATGATTTATGTAAATATACCTTTACATCCTTATGTAGATTTTTTTTTTTTTAACAATGCAGACACAGGCCTACATTTTACAATTTACCTGTTCGCTTGCTTTCTTTAAGAATTATACTTTTAATGCAATATGGGTTTTCATGCAGGTTTTAAACTTGTACAATTTTTTTTTCATGTCAGCTCCTGAGGGCAAATATTAGGTAAACAGATTATGAGGAAACACCTGATAAGTGTAGGTTAGGCTCATTATAATGTTTTTTTCCATTCAAAGCATAATACGCATATATCAGATTCAGTATTTACTTTCTATGCCTGGTGGCATGGTATAAAGGTTAAAGCCAATGGAACCAAAATTGAAAGTTTTGTTTCAAATCAGAGCAGGGCGGACAAAGAATTTTTCGTCGTGGACAGGTAAAAAACCTCCGAAAGGAAGGAATTTTTGTTTCCCTTTCTGGGTTGAGCAGGTTTTCATTTTATAGAGGTAATTATAAAATTACAGAGGATTCTGTTATGACAGGTTTCTGTCTTGGACAGGTTTTCATTTAGGGAAGACCCGGGTCGGCGATCCCAGACCATATCGATAAAATTTTTCAAACTATCCAACTTTTGTTTTTGTTTTTTGCGGAAAAACATCCTTTGTCATCAGTTCTATTAGGTCACAATGACGAAACTGTTGAAAAAACAACCTAAATAAAAGGGCGTTTGAAAAGTGCAAAGTGCACTAAAAATTCTTTTGAAAATCTCTGTTTTTTCTGTTTTTCTCAAAATCTACTTTTTGACATATGTGACCTCCTTGGTGCAAGAAGTTTTCAAAAACTACAGAAGCTGGAAGCTTCAAATTTGGTGTACATGTGCTTTAGGATCTATTCTGGGGATCTGTGTGAGGGAATCTGGAAATATTTGTAACTTGTGGAAATATTCAAATTTTTTGTAATATGTAGCCCAAAATTTCGTTAAGTGACTCTTGGGATCCATTGACTTTGGGCTCACTTTTTTAGTTTTGAAGATAGGTCAAAATCCTGACATGGGTCCCCAGTCTATATAGGTTTGTACTTGTGTGCCAAATTTCAGACTGATTATTAAATATTTACTATGAAATTCTTCTGCACTAAGAAACTGGTTTGAAAATCCAAAATGGCCGCCACAGAGGCCAATTTTCCAGAAAAAATCAACAAAGTCACCCTTAATACATCCTATTTACCTATGAACTTCTTGCACAATTACATGAAAGTAAATAAAAGTAATTCGTTTAGAAAATTTTTCCAGGAGTGTATGTCTCCCCTTAAGGCAGGTTCAAATATACTGAAAATTAGTAATAATATAATAAAAATAAAGATAACTTTTTATGTCAGTGAAAATTGGCAATGATGTGTCAGATAGGTTACCTCTAAAGTACGGAGTTCCTCAGGGTTCGGTCCTTGGTCCTGTCATCTTTACAATGTACACGCAAAGTCTGTCATCAATAATTTCTTTATATGCCCTTAATTACCATCTTTATGCAGACGATACACAGCTGTATGGATTCACTACAACTGACAATGTACACAATCTCATAGATGTAGAATCGCCAGATGCATCAATGATATAAGAAAATGGATGTTCAAGAACAAATTAAAATTAAATGAGGATAAGACCGAAATATTATTTCTTCGTAGCAGCGCATGCAATGAAATCGACAATATCAGAATAAACATTAATGGCCACGAAATATCAGCCCAAACTAAAATAAAAAATTTAGGCGTGGTGCTAGATCAAGATATGTCAATGAACTACCATGTATCCAATCTTTGTAAAAATCTCCAACTAAAGAAAATAGGGAGCATTAGAAAATATCTATCTGTTGGTGTCACCAAAACTTTAATAACATCACTTATATTGTCAAGGATTGATTATTGCAATTCCTTACTGGCTGGTGTACCTGATGAACAGTTACAACAACTACAAAGAGTACAAAATATTGCTGCCAAAATAATTACTAAAAAATTAAAGCATGATCATGTGACTCCTATCTTAAAAGCATTACACTGGCTCCCAGTGAAAGAGGGTATCATATATAAAATCTGTTTAACTTGCTACAAGTGCTTAAATGATTTATCACCGGACTATCTAAAACAGCTTTTAACACCCTATGTGCCTCCTAGAACGCTCAGATCATCAAGTGACAAAACAACCCTTGTTAAGCCTAAAATAAATTACAAGTCATATGGCCAACGCTCTTTTTCATATTTTGCCCCACTTGTTTGGAATAGGCTTCCAAAAACTATCAGAGAAGCAGAAAATCTAGACATTTTTAAGAAGAAACTAAAATCATTTCTATTTTCATCATATTTAGATTAGACAGAATGCATCCAAGCTGTAGATCGTTGTGAGTTTGTATGTGCGAATGTACGTATGTGTGTATGTATGTGTGTGTGGTGCGTGCGTGAGTGAATATGTGTTTGCATGAGTATGTAACACTATGTACCTTTAAAATTGATTTGTAAATCCATAATATGTATCATGTTAAGCGCCATTATTATTATTATTATAACTTCGATAGCACCTACTCCTGGGTGGTTCTAGGCGCTTAAAATTTGTCATTATATATATACTTATAATATAAATATATTTAGGATTCCTTTTGGTTCAGTCTGCAAGTAAACTCTCCACAACAATAACAGTCTTATGGTTTTCATCATGTATAATAAATTAAGAAATCCTTGTCGGAGGGATGGCTTACCACTTTCTGCGTGTTGTTTTTGGACACTGGTAAATGTTCATCTATAAAGAAACCGCATTTATCATACTCAAGTTACGTATTATGTTGATTTTATTTCAGATTAGAAATCTTTCAATGTTGCATCGATTTTTGTGTATCTCCTTGCTATTTTATTGTGTCTGCTAGCGTCATGAAATTATGTTTTTTGATTCATGTTGAGAAGTTCGAAAGAACTTGTTTATAATGGCTTTTGCAGCAAAGATAATGTTGCTGTAAGAAGTAAGATAAGAATGTTTCACTGTTGAGGAAAAAGCGTAGTCTCCTCAAAAAAGCTATGAAAACATGACATTTAAATTCCCATTGCCATAAGTGCACTTTATTAAGTTCAAACACTCTCTTCTGAAGAGCATGTTATATGGGGTGCTCATTGCGGATGGGATTGGGTCGGGTCCGATGGACCCACCCGTCGCCTGAAAACAAAAGCCTTTGTTTTTTTGGCAACGAGTCGGCCACGATAGCTCTTGTGCCTTCAACCTGGCTAGCAAACCCACCCGACCCGATCCCCCAATGGGCAGCCTGTATAAAAAAAAATAGCCTATTCTTGTAAGGTGTAAACTAAAGTAGGGTCAAAAACTATTTTGAAAGAGCCAACTGTATGAGATTCCATTCATCATTGAAAGCAAGTGGAGTCAGTTTTTCTTTGCTGCTATCACAAATCACATTGTTTGCCATTTGCATTTCTTGTATACTACTTGTATGTGTTCATGAAACTCAGGCGTGTGTTCATAAATTGTGTACAGAATCATAATGGAAATTGAGATATGTGAAAATTTGTTCTCGAAAACTATTTTCATGATTTGGTTCATTCCATTTTACCATAAGTCTCTTCATACTTCATGTTTGCATAAATATAATAAAAACTTTCACATTTGAAGGAGTAAGTGTTCCTTAATGTACATGATGTATCGTCAAGCTGTGAGTTAGAATTTACGAAAATTAATACCAAACTTTAGACCAGGGATTTAAAAAGACATGGCTGTGGTTCTCTTTTCTGCAAGGAGAATAAAAGTAATGGTGGATGCTCTGTGGGCAGCACCGCACGCCTGATAGGAGCCCTCTCTCACAGCAGAACTATGGTCTACCTGCGCTGCACGACTGCCCGACTCATGCACAGAAAAATCTAGATAAGAAAGAAGTTTTTATTCCGAGGTCCTTGTAGTCAGTTAGTAAAAATGCCTTCTACCTGTGTCGTGTGTAAGTGTAAGAACCGATATGATGCTGCAGTGGACAGAAGATTTCACAGATGTTGTTTTCCTTTTTAAAAAATCTGAATGAAAGTGTTTTTATGCCCCCAGCGACACAATTTAGATCATTAACACTTATAAGAGGCTGGCTCCGGCGCTACCTGCCAAGGCAAACGCGGGCTGAAAGGGATACTCTATAACAACACCCCAGCAGAAAGACCGAGATACTTGATTTTTAAAAAATATTCTTATTCTTATATATGTATGTGTGTGTGTGTGATTGAGTGTGTGAGTGTGTGTGTGCGTATGTTGCTTTCCATTGTGTGTGCAAATTTGATGCTATGTGCAGCAGACCTTTATTTTGATGGGACAAAATCTAGAGTCTAGGTTTCTACGTATATCTTGTTTTCATATATATATATATATTTACTAATCATACACACCTAAGCGTATTGAGTTCAATCAGTCAGTCAGACTTGTTTTATGTTTTTAAGCCCACTCATCTCCTAATTACTATAAAAATAAGACTACTGTTGTCTAAATGTAGATATCGAGAGGCTCCATTAAAATATGAATTCAATACCCAACAACAATAATGATGAATATCTCCCATGTTAAAGAAACACCAAATCATATCAGATGAGGGGAGGGGGTAGGGTGGGTGGACAAGGCATGATTCGTTAGGTTAGGCCGACAAGGTCTCCTCATACCCATGTCCATCAAATTATCACCAGGGAGGCATGTAGAATAATATGTCAACATGATTGCCCATCACCATGAACGACTGCTGAGTGATCGCTTCATTAATAAGTGACAGAGGAACGCAACGACACAAGCTAACAAAAGACTACTGTTCCTGCATCAATAATGGTAAGTTTTGATCTCATTCGAAAAGTCCAAAGGTGCTGACTGTTATCTCTCTTTTTTATATTTGAAATTATTGTGCGCTCCACTTTGTGAAAAACAGGAAACAAAATTATAGTAATCAATAATAGACCTATTACTGTTCCTTACACATAAAGCTAGTTATGGCACACACCTAGAATCATGCAGTCATTATTCAGTTTAAAAAATACATTTTTCACCATTTCTTATTATAAATAAATCTTTTAACGTCTTGAAAGATGATCTTTATAATTTGGTATGTTTGATAATTTTATGTTACTTGGATAATTTTTCTTCTTATTTGGCCGATCTTCTTAACTTTTAAACTAGCTATATAACATAAAACTCTTAAATTTAAAGAATTGAACAGTCCGTATCTCACACAGAATTTATTTTTTTTTTCTCCCTGTCATTCTATCCGTCATCCCATCAGTTGATCACAATCTCTCTCTCTCTCTCTCTCTCTCTTATTTAATTTTTCCCATTCTCATTCGTCCCTTCTCAAGGCCCGCCCCACCTCTTTCATCCCAGCCCCATCCCCTCTTCCTTTTCATCCCAGCAGCATCCCCTCTTCTTTGTGGGCATTCCCCCACCCCGCCCACCCCCACAACGTGGCCCAGCCTTATAAGATTCTATAAAAAGAAAGCACCGCAGTTTGCCATTTTAGACCATAGTCGGCAGCCATATTTACTCCCCACCTCGGCGTGCTGCTCGAGGCGCAGCGAAGAGAGAGAGGAGGCTCCATTTGTTTTAAACTCCTTGCTTTTCTGTTACATAATTCTTCAAATAGACAGAATAGGCGCAAAACTGTATATTCCAAAATCTAGAGTGCTGTTTGTTATATGACGGTTAATACCAGTGTATACCATCCCAGAATCTCATGGCTTCATGGTTTATGCTGTGTGAACATGTGATCTGACGTGACAAACACGGTTTGGAAATGATCACTGTTCATTCCTGCATCAGTCTCTTCTGTGTACCTCTAATTAAAAACGGATCCTAATATGTTTTGGCAGTGGACAAAGATATGGGTTCGTCCTATTTTTTGCTTAAACAACTGCTCTTTCTAACTTAAAAATAAAGTGGAACATAAAAAAGTACTGTATTAAGGTGCATCCAACCATAAACAAAGAGCAAAAAAATAGTTTTGCTGACAACAATTACTCAACACCGACAACCTTTGAGTTCACAATTTATTTTCTGAAACGATGGAAACGGAGAGGAAAAAGTGAATGATTTTGTACAAGTGCTTTTCATTCCCCTCAAGCATAGGGACACATATTTAACCACTAGATGTCAATCACCGATCAAGAGCGCTTTCAAGATTCCTTTTCAGTGTTCTTGGAGCCAATTCAAAAGCTGTTTTTTTATCCTGAAAAGGGAAACAAAATAAACATTCACAAGTAAAATTGACTTTGTAATAAATTCTATGGCTGGAAGGCATAAAAACTGAGAAACAACCAATTGCAAAAAACACAATTACCGTCACTCAGAGGATCATCCCCACTATAGTATATTGAAATGGGCAGATCAGAGATGCAATCTGCTGCATCATCTTCTAGGAAATCAGGCAACAATAGAAGCTGTTGGGAAAGACCCCCATCATCTGTTTCAAGCATGCCATCACAACATAGTCACAAGAATAAAAGTAAGTCTTCTGTTTAAGGGGTCCAGGTACTAACAAAAGCTATTTTTCGTTGTTAACCCTATCCGTACGCCCTGGGGTCATTTTGTACCCCCAGGGTTGTATTCTTCTCATTTTAGAATACTTTAAGTATGCAGATCTCTTTGAAACTTTCAGTATTTCTCAAAAAATCATTTTGACAGACTGCTATGCAAAGCGTGCGGATCGGATTAACAAGTAACATATTTCCTCTTTGGAAAGTAGTGACACAGAGTACCCAATAAAACATGACGTAAGGATAGGGTTAATGTATCTTTTCAAACCAAACTTTCACATACATTGCAGCACCCTCTAGGAAATAATTCAAAACATTAAAAAGACTTTCAACCCCAATATGTTATGTAACACCATCGGCCATATTAAAATTATATAATACTAATGGTAAGGAAAATCCTAAAATTTTGAAAAAAAGACATTATGTTAATTTTTTTAAAAATATCAATTTCAGTAGAAATAGTTATGGGTAACTGTCTGGCATTTTAAAATATTCTTTAAATATTCAAGAATTTCTTGGACTTTCAAAGTGAGGTACTTTTTGGGGTTAAAATTTTGAGGGTAAAACGACTTTCAAAAGCATGTTTCTTTGGCATTAACTATTTTTAGCAAAAAAATCTTGTTAATGCCCTGTAACAACCAAATCTGCACATGTGTGAAACGTTTCAACAGAGTATCTTGATTAGTAGCTGAGATTTTAGGATTCTAGTGACATAGGGTATTTCAAAAATAAAGTTTTGAGAAAAACGCATGTTTAAAAATGTCACTGTAATTCTAGCATCGGTGGTTGTTGCTATTTCTTTTTCCAAAAGTTGCCAAAAAAGTTGCTATTCATTTTCAAACTTTCAGCTCTCTGTGACAACGCAATATGTTGATAAAGGTAACTTAATCTAAACCTCCAGAATTTCTTGTGCTCTGTTTTAAGTTTAAGTATCCAGAATATAATTTGCAGCCACACGGAGGATAAAAAAGTGAAAAATAAAGGTTTCACAACAGAATGAAATAAAAATTAGAACAACAAATAAACAACCACAAAAATTAACAAATAAGGCCGTATTCCACCTATCCGAAGATTGGTCGTTTTAACCGAAAACGCGTACTGTAAGTCAAGAAAAAGTACAGCATGTAAATTTTGGAATCACACACAAGGGGCCTGCCAGTGTCAGTATTCGGTTTTGGTGGAGACACGCTCTAACAGTAACATAACACATTTTTTTTTAAAGGAACAACATTACGCTAAATAAAACTCAACACAAAAACAACACGTCAGAACAACAACAAGAAACAAAAATTAACACACCAACAAATTAAAACAAAACAAAGAGGGAAACATGAAAGAGAAACAGCAATATAAATAGTATGTAAAGTACTTATATTCTTTACATGAAAATTACAAATCAACGTGATGTTAACAAGTGAGAAAGAGACGAAGTGAAGCAAAAGTTAAAATTTTCATAAACTTTCTTTCTCTTCGTAAAGAGGTTCGGTTTCTTTTTTTCCCCCCGAATATTATTCCCCTTTTTTGTTGCTGTTGTTTTTTAATTATTTTTACTTCCCGACGGTGGTTTTTTGTTGGAAAAAGGCAAAAATCGCGGACCAAAAAATGCCAAAAATCAAACACAGATGCTAGGTAATTTCCTTCTAGAGGTTCCAGTACCATATGCACTATTATTTCTAATTACATAAAATCTCATTTCTGTACAGTTACAAATGACTTCATTTTTATAGAAGTTTAGTGAACAAAGTAGACACAAAATGTTACAAAAAAGAGGAAAAGTGACCAAGCGGTCGTTTTTGCAAGAGGGGGATGCAGTCGACTGAGACACATCTTCACCTATTTTATCAATTTTTTTTTACCAAAAGGACCAGAAAATCTTATTCAGCAATGATCAAAGGTGTTAAAAAGCTGCCTTCCAGAAAATCAATAATTTCATCGAAAATGATTGACCAAAACTGTTACCTGCTAGACCCCTTAAACACTGGAACTATTCTGGAAATTTGAAAAGTCTGACAAACTGCCTTCCTGGTTATTATGCGACGAAAATCTTATATTTATATGGATATTGTCATAATTTCAGGCCACTAAGATTTTATATAACCATTATGGCCTGTCCAGGTATACAACTGGACCAAACTATGACGGTCTTATAGGTTTCCACTGATTTTGTATTATTTATTAAGACTTGCGAGCTCTTCTACATCATGCATCTATAAGGCTGGCTCTTGGAAAGAGACACATTTGATCATCTTTTCTGAGTCCAGACTCATTGGATTCAATGTGTTATACTTTTGATTTAGCTTTTGACTGACATATCTGATTATGCAAATTCAGCCGTCAAAAATATTTTTAAAAAGCACAGCTGCTATAACAACTAGATCTACATATGATCTATACAACATAGATGCAAATCTGAGTAAAGGTTTCCTTTTAATTTATGAGCAAAAACACTATTACACACAACAGGTAGGCTGATCCTTACCATGGGTAAAAGATCTGAGTCAGAGGCTACAGAGAGAGGGAAACTCTTCCATAACCCAGTCTTGCTAGTGACTGTGTATTGCTCATGAGCTGGTCGTTGACTACTTGCTACTTTGAGTTGTCATTTCCAGCACTTTCTGTTAATGTTTTGGGTCTGTTGAATTCTGTTTTTCATCAAACTAATTTTTTTTTAAAGACTCTAGGGGTACAGTGCAAAAGCCCATGTCATAAACATCAAGGGAGCATTTACCAATAAAGAAAAGACTTTAACGCCCTCTTCCCACTATATCAAACAAGGGTGTTAATTCCAACCATGTCTCTTCAACATACCCCAATATGTTGAAAGGAACATGACACTGACATTTATCTACACAGCCACAGCAGATGCACTTACATTGTTCCTGATGTCAGTTCTAGCACCATTATCTATTAACAGTTTGGCAACCTCTCCACTGTCATCCTCACATGCAAGATGCCTGCAAATAAAATACATGAGAGTTGACGAAACTGAAAAATATACACATGTTACTGCATGTATCAACTAAACTAGATGAAACCTCAATTTACATCTGAAATGGGTCACTTTCAGAGTATTGTTTAATAATAACTTACCACAGTACTATGAACTTTCATAATTTATACTCTTCATATCATTAGAATTAGAATACCTATTGCTGTCTAGACAGAAATCAACACACCCCTTGAGTCAGCAAGCATTATGACAAGTTACTTTTCAAAACTTAAAAGAATAAATTACTTTTATGCTGATTTCAAGCTCAAAGCAATTTTTTTTAGTAAGAATGTTTTTAAAAAGTTCAGTTCACTTTCAACCTCAAGAATTGCAGCTGGCCACTTTGCAGACAGATGGCAAAACAAAATATTTGCAAAATTCTATTCTGCAAGTCTTGCTTCTGAACTAAGAATGTTCCTCGTAAAAGGAGGGGAACCAACACTCTTTAAGAGATCTATTTTTTCGCAATATTGTGAAACTATCAGGCTACAAGTAGGACATTTTTTAAACTTAAAGATCTTTTGCTAAGATACACCCAAGCTATATTAACCAGAGGTATAAGACTTGTTTTCATACCAAAGTATGTTGTTCAATTTGGAGGTCATCCATGCATAGTTGACAGGTAACTTCAGATCTCCTTTATTTTTTCTTACTCCAGATCTTAACATAAAATAAGAAACATCTTATTAACCCTCCACTGGAAGAAATTGAATTGACAGTGTGGGATGAAGCATCTAATTTTGTCAGATAAAAACCTCAGACACCCCTCCTTGCTGTCAAATATTGTTGGTACTGGAATTGAAAGAAAGAAACTGAAGAGCAAGCCTACTTGAAGTGGCTGCCCAAGCAAGTCGAAATCAACTTCTACAAAAATTAAAGAAACTATGCTAATTATAAAGAGAACCTGTAAAACAGCACATGATTAGCTGAAAAGTGAAAGATACTTCATTCTAGAAAGAAAGTAAACCATTGTCATATGAAAAAAAATATAAGATGCACTGTGGATAGAAGAAACAGTCATCAACTTATGAGAACTATAAGAACAACGCAGAAAAATAAGAAAAAGGATATTTACTCACAATGGAGTGCATCCTGAAATGTCCCTCAAGTCTAAATTGGCTTTGTTTGAGATCAGGAGTTTCACAATATTCAGGTTGCCCTTGCTAGCAGCACGGTGGAGAGGAGTATGTCCAACAGAATCAGTGGGATCCACATCAGCGCCATGTTTGATTAAAGTTTCTGAAATCTGTGATCAGAGCAGAAAAAGGAATATTTTCTTATCAGTCAGTACTTTGTGCTACAACATATGGTCACTTTTAAGGGAAAGCAGGCTAGCCCAGATTTCGGGGGTTTCCAGAAATCTTGACCTACACCAAAAGTGGACATTGTCCTACCTACATATAATGAGAAGTTTGGTTTCATTGGTATGTATATTAATTGTTTGGTCATAGAAAAAACTCTCCTTGTCTTTTAAAAAAACTGAACAAGGGGCAAAAACTTTACCTTCAATTTTCTCATAACAGCATTTTTCGGGATAGCCCCCTTGTGCTTAAAAGCGACCATATTATAAGACAATTAAATAATTATCATAATACAGGCCTAAGTTAAGAACCAACACAGGCACTAACAAAGACTGGAAATGCTCATTTACAGATAGTTGTGTGACATGGTAAGAGTTCAAAGAGTTTAATGTCCCTGAAAGTAAAAGTAGGTCCTCTACAAATGATAGAAACAATTTAATCTTGGCTGCATTTGATCACTCTTAGGCAATAATCTGTCCTCAGAGAAATTCGCGCGCGCAACCCGCAAGTTGCGCACGCAACTTTTGGCCTCAAAGCAACTTTTGCGCAACTTTTGCCATTTTCGTGAATTCGCGAATTTTAAGCAATTTTCAGCAAAAGTTGGAAAAATAATAATTTAATTTCGGTAAAAATAACAGAAATTTTCTTCCTCAACTAAAAATAACGACGAGAAGGGGGACAATTCGTACCAGAAATTAAATCTGCCACTTCTTTTGCACTACGGGGATGAGATCGGGTTGGGATGATCGCCCGACTCGTTGCCTGAAAACAACGCCGCGTTTGTTTTTGAGGCAACGACTCACGAGTCGGGTGCGATCGATTTGTGCCACGATAGCCACTTTGCGCCCTCAGTCTGTCGATCAAACCGACCTGTCCCGACCTGACCTCCCCAATAGTCCTGTTTGGACTGAATCATCTTCTACTTCTTCTAGATCTAGCTAAATCTAGGAGTGTAGATCTAGATGTCTATAGAGTAAACTCAATCGTAAACACGATCGTCTGATTATTTAGCTTGCATTGGTTCCGTAGCACCAGGTAGATAGATCTAGTATAAAAATTTGTGAAAGGCTTAGTCTTAGGCCAGGAGGCTAGATCTAGACATGGATCGATTCATCCAGAAAACCCCTAAAGGGGTCGTTCAAATATAATCTTACACCTGGAAAAGGCCTAAAAGGGGGGGGGGGGGGGGGGGGAGAGAAGAGGAGGAAAATGTAAGAAAAGTGTAAGGTGGGGGGGGGCAAAAATCCCCCAAAAGGTGTACGATTATATTTGAACAGCCCCAAGACCACACTGGTCACACCTGCCCAACGTCAGCGAGAGTTTAAGTTTAAGGACCTGACACAAGTAAACTATGCAACCTTCGTGCAGTTGTTGTTTTTTGTTTTGTTTTGTTTTTTGGTATGGTAGACATTCACATTTAACTTTTGATTTTGATCTAACAAAACTCACGTAGGTTACTTTGATTGCAATGGGCATACAAACAATGTATTCCAATAATTCCATGACATTTTAGCTATACACGTCTTGCAACTTTTCTTGCAACTTTTGTTGATTTTTCTTGCAACTTTTTGCAACTTTTGCTATTTTCAAATGCAACTTTCTCTGAGGACAGAATAATGTTAAACTTGTATCCTCTAAACAGGAAAACCCCAGCAAAATAAACAGGACAGAAGTGAATGAAAAACAAAGAGTCCAAATTATAAACTTTCCATGCTGCAAAACAGGTTTGTTTGAGCGCACACTTCCCCACTTTCATAAATATATAACTAGATTCTCTATTTTGACACTTAAACAGACCATTGTTCAATAACAAAAACCTGTACTGTCCTACAAACAGCCCGGTTCATGCTCAGTCAATCATTTGCAGCCAAAATGATCAACAATTATAACATATACCTCCAAACGCCCTTTCGATGCTGCATAATGCAGAGAGCACTGGCCAGTATTATTGACAGCATTGACTTGAGCACCATGACCCATCAGGTCATACACAATCTGTAAGTGACCAGCTGAGGAAGCTATCATCAGAGGTGTCCACTGGGTCTGCAGGCAAAACAATTTATCATGAAACATCAACAAATCTTTTATAAAGTTAAGAAAACCTTACACTGATATTTTATACGAAGTGACTATTTTTCTGAACGTTCGGAGAAATAGTGCCGATCTTTATTTCTCCGAACGGTTTCCGGCTTCAGGTCTCGTGATTTTTTGCCTATTTGCGAGAGTTCGGCGTCAACTTTCATTCTGCCATTCTGCAAGGTCTGGGAAGGAGCAAAGTTTTGGGTATAGATCTATTTCAATTTTCAAGAGCTAGTCTAGAGATTTTTAGATGAGTGTAGAAACGTGAAAAAGAAAGGTTTCACAACAGAATTAAATCAAAATTAGAACAACCCATAAACAACCACAAAAATTAACAATTAAGGGCGTGTGTCTACCAGTCCAAAGAAGATTGGCTGTTTTAACCCTAAATGTGCATAATTTTTTTTTAAAGTACAGGATATAACATGTAAATTATGAAATCACACACAAGGGGCCTGCCAGTGTCAGTACATGTAATTGGTTTTGGTGGAACGCTCTAACATAACACATTTAAATCTATATATATATACAGGTATATATATTTAGAATCTAATGAAGGTAGGAACATCAAATAGAATGACGTTACACTATACATGACAACATCCCGCCCCCCCCCCCCCCCTTTTTCCCCACAACAAAAAAAAAAGAAAGAAAAAAAAAGAAAAACAACACATCAGAACAATAACAAGAAAAAAAATTACACACCAATAAAATAAAACACCACAAAGAGGGAAAAATGAAAGAGGAACAGCAATACAAATCGTATGTAACTGTAACGCATTCAACAAATCAACGTGGTGACAACAAGTGACAAAGAGACGAAGTGAAGCTAAGTGAACTTTCTTTCAAAAGTAAAGAGGATTGGTTTCTTTTTTTTTCTTTCCTTTTTTTAAAATTTGACTTTTATTCCCCGATTCAGGGGGGGGAAAAAGGCAAAAAAATCGAGCTCGATTGATTGGTCGCTGCCGCGATAAACGCAGATGCTAGTTCTATGTGTCGTTGTCAATAACCCTCCATAGATCTAGACAGCACACGAGAGAACACAACACATTAAGTTTAAGAGCAGCACCCTTCATAGGCAACACGTCATATCAGTAGCGAAAAACTGTTTGGAACTGTCGCATTTCTTAATAAATATTTACTGCGGACATTTTTTGGACCGATTGAACCATATTGTACACGAACAATCTTTGGTAGGCCTGTAATATAATTATAGATCTATATATATATCCGAAATTTGCGGGAAAGGAAGTAATTTCAGAGTGTTCGGAGAAATAGTGCCCAGCTTTATTTTCCCGAACGTTCAGAGAGATAGTGCCGGCCTATTTTATATCCCTCCTATTCATCAGCATCATTATTGTCTTTCTCACCCTGCACCCATGTATGGGCCACAAACAAACACTCTCCATGTTTCCTTCCTGGGCTAGCCTCTTGATATTATCCCTTGTCTTCTCTTTTTTCTACACACACTATTTCATTGGTCCAACAGTTCATACTAAGTTAATTTCTAACCGTCACTTCAACTGACTATCTGGCTGTAATGTGTAGTACAATTATGTATTCCACTTTCCGATTACTGAAACCAGTTATGTAATGCCTCAATTAGTTCCACATTCTATCTCAGCTGTGACGTCATATATAGAAAAATAGAGAACATGCAGAAAAAGAGTCTAGTGGTCATATTGAAGTTGAGAACAGACATACCAATGGTCATATGAAGTAATAAGGTAAGAACAATATAACCAAACGACAATAAAATAATCACATTAGATACAAGGATGTTGGCGGTAAATTAGCAGAACTCTCTAGTCACAAACATTGAGGTATCTATTTCTTTATTTCCAAAGAGAAAACAAAAATAGAACTAAAGAAGAGACCTAATAAAGTCGAATCTGAGTAGGATGGCCACCCATTGTCAAGGAGAAAAGTGGCTGTATAAGACAGGTGGCCGTCTTAGGCAGGACTGATCAAAATGAAGAAAACAAACCATTCCCTCCTGAGGTCCCAACCTAAGGTAGCGGCATTGTTGTTGTTGTTTTCGCTGGTTTGTTTTTTATTTGCTTATAAAAAAAATTTGTTGTTCATTTTGAGCAAGGGTGACTATAAAACAAAATGGGTCAGATGAGGAAGACCGAGTGCCATGGTAAAACAAACACACGGGTCGCCACCACTCGGAGAACGAGCGATGCTTCTGTCGCAAGTTCATGTTCACATCTATCGTTACGTTGTTACAGACTGGGTAAACAGTGACTGGTCACCTCACTTATGATTTGTGTATTAATTGTGGGCGGGGCCTTATGGGTTATGAGGGATCACATGCTTACTTCACCAGCAACTGAAAATTTGTTACCTATTGGTCAATAGTGGGAGGGGCCAACGCAACATGATCGATTGGAGGGACTACCTAACAACGACAGGTGAATGGATTATGGGGGCTCGCCCACAATGCTAGGGGCCAATACATGATTTATGACAAAACGTAAAGGAGTCACTAAGGTGGCCATCTAAGACAAGTGGTATTGGGGTTGTGATAGGGGTTGTGTGTTAAAATATGGTGGCCGTGTTGGACAGGCGGTCGTTTTACACAGTGAAACTATACAGTAAAAACAAAAGGGGGGAAACGGAAAGTGGCCGTTTGTACAGGTGGCCATCATGGCAGGTTCGACTGTATTATCTGGGATGAAAGAACAAAATATCAATAATGGACAACAAAAATATATTCATTTTTACTAAATTTTAGGCATTATTTTCACACGTGAATCACCCACTTTCTTAAAAACCAAACCCACCTCATCTCTGTCATTCACTGGCACTTGCAACTCCAAAAGATATGCCACGATGTCTGTGTGTCCACCAGAAGCTGCCCAGTGCAAGGGAGCACGACCACTCTGAGAAAATGTACAATCAACTGTATATGAAGAAAGCTATTCATTTGAGCAAACTGAAGTTAGTTGAAATTGAATTCTGGAAGCAGTCATTCAAGAACATGCACATTTAAGAGCTTCAAAAAATCTTAAGTGAATAATACATGTTGAGGAACCATTAGGTATTTTCTTCCACTATATCATACCTCAGTAAAGAACAAAAGTTTGAAACAAAGTACAGGAACGGATTATAGTTATGATGAGTTTCAAAGGGTAGGTTAAACTTGCTGGTTTCCAGAAAAAAGATGGATCTAGGGATTAGTTTAAAAATGAGGTACTTGGGACATGCCTAATGTTGTCTTAGATTTAGGCTTGTGTTCTCATCTGTGACATAGCAGCTGACAAGAGCTCTCCACAAATCCGGATCCTGGGCCAATTTCTCTAGCTATCCCTACTGTTGCCCCAACCTCCTTGTGCCCTCAGCCACATACTTGTGCCATGAGTCCTTTGGTCGGCTTCACTTCCTTTTCCCTTGCAGATTCCAGCTTAGGGCTTGGTTTGTGATCTGGCTGTTTGCTTTTGGACCGTGTGACCAATCTATTCACACTGACTTTTAGGGATTACTTCATCTGTAGGTTGCTGGTGTGTTTTCAGTCAGAGTCCTTGATTGCAGAAGGTGTCTGACCAGCGCATTCGAAGAATCTTTTTGAGATAACAACCCTTAACATCACTAGACGAGACAGGCAGAGAAATGAAGAAGTAAGAGTAGCTATCGGCACCCAGTCCTGCCTCCTTTACAAAGAAAGACAGAAGATAAAATGGTTTGGCCACCTGTTGGGCATGTCACTTGACCACCAGCGTCGAGACCCTACAACACCAAGCACTCAGGCTATAAAGGAAGAGGAAAGCCACGCAAAAGACGGGTCGAGGGTGTCAAGGAAACCCTAATAAAACATGACATCACAACTGAAAGAGCTGCGGAGCTGGCCTACCATAGAAAACTGCATATCCCCTCGACGCTTAACGACAACAGAGGATGAAAAAGTAAAAGTAAGTAAGTAAAGAAATATTCAAGCATAATCTAATACAAAAACTAACGTTTTCTAAGTATACTTAATACTTTAATTTTTATGATTAAAAAAAAATTGACATGAATTTTACTTTCCACAAAATTTCCGGAGACGTGACAGATAGAACGAAATTCACAACAACAACAAAAATAACAGTTCAAAGTGTTCTGTTTGGGTTTGTATGCATGTGTGAGAGTTTGGTGAAAATATAAAAACTGGGCTGTGCGTTGATTCAGACTTATAAACTGAATTACATGAGACAGATGTAGGGTACAAAGTTGTGATTTCATTGCGCTAACAACAGCATCAATACTAGTGCTAAGATCTAGCCCTCAAACTATGACCCGGGCCGTGTTCGGGTACATATCCAGTGTCTTAACTATCAGACACATCATATTCGGAGTCACTAAAACTAGTAAAATGAACATAAGTATCAAAACCAGCGAAATTATGAGATTCTTGTTCTTGCGACTTCTTCGACTGTTACTTGACACAACTATTAAGTTACTATCAACTGTATACGTATCGAAAAAAATATAGCGCTAGTTCCAGTCAGTTCAACCCCAGTTGGGGTGCCTGTCCTTCACCTTCAATTGCATAAAAAGTTACCACGCAACTTCGGCCAAACTCAGCATGAAACAAAAGAAGTGGTAAAACTAGCACTGGAGTCTGTTTCCGTACATGTGACAGAAGCGCAAGTTTCGGAACAAAAGCGCAAAGTCCATCCTGTCGGTGGTTCAGAATCAGAACCAGCAAACCGGCCACCTGTCCCGCACCAGAGATGGGAACCAAGGTCAGTGAGTTAACAGTCAATGAAGTTGACACAGTGGGATAAATTCTACTCCAGAATAATCTGCAGTGTTGTTGTCAGGTCTTTTCTTCTGAAAACCAGCCTGCTGGTCTACACCCTCCTTCTTCCTGTTCATCAGTACCCGGAAGAACATTTTTCCTGCAGACTTACCACCCCATTGTTGATTAACTCCTATTAGCCAGAACAACATGCTCTGTATCATTTCTGTTTACTCCCTTCAGTCAGAACGACACACGGCGTGTCAATTTCACCTCCCCTAATTAAACACACTTTTCTGTCCAGTCCTCTAAATTCATGTTTAACAACATTTATCAAGTTAAAAATTGACACGAACATACTAACTTTCTTTATAAGAATTTGCCACTTGAAGGCGTATTTTTTCGAATGGTAACACATTGTACCACAAACAATTTTGAACCTAGAATCCGAGTCACTTTCTTAATCAAGATTGTAAATCAAATCAAATTCCTCTTCAATACACCTGCTTTTTCTGCACTCATTCTCACTACCCATTACCCTGATGTAGCTGATGGCTAATTTTTTGGCATGGTGAACAAGGTACATCCAGATCCAAAACTGTCAGTGATACAAAAACTTACACCAATTCTAAATGATAGCGCAGATTTAATTCTGGCTATTCAGGAAAATGCATGAAATCAATTCTGGATGATTATATCAGTCAATGGACAAGTCACTGTCTTTTTCCTGAATATATCTGGAGAGTCCTGTGGTACTGGTCTGTTCAACAGCTCCTTAAAATGATCAATCCATCTGTTCCTCCGTCCTATTTCATCAGGTATTTCCTCCCCGCTCCTGCTCTTATCTAACCTCTCTGGTTGATTGTACTTCCCTAACAGCTTCTTAGGCCGGTCCCAGAGTGGCTCTGTAGGTCTGACCTGTAGCTCGCCTGGCTCGCACCGAGCAAATGAATGTATACATTATCGTGTGCTAAAGCAGCATAGCTGTATCGTCTGTTTTTTGTCAGCAGAGCTGCGCGAAGCGTCAGACGTGCTATCCAACAGAGTTGTAAAAATGGCGGACATGTGCCGCCTCGCTTCGTGTTTATTTTCGACTGAAACTCTTCTCAGATCATCAAAATCAACAAGTAGTAAGTATTATTAGGTGCTTTACTATTAAATATTGATGCTAGCATCAACACTTGGCCTCAAAATCACCCAGAAATGCAGAAAGTAGAACAGAGGGATAGGGGATAGGGGTAGGGGTAGGGGTAGGGTTTGGGGTAGGGTTAAGTCTCTTCCTTATCGTATTGTTGGTTGGGGTGGTCACTCGTTACGGAAGTCCTTCCATGCAGAACACACACTTGACTTGACAGTGATTTTGTAGTTTCCTTCATTAAAGTCCAAAGCTGAACGCCAGAGACCCTGAATTGCCAGGTAATTGTTGAGGAGTGAACTAAGCGCGAGACTGGAAGACACTAAAGCCAGAAAATCAAAATTCAAACAAAGAAAGGCTTTTTTTTGGCAGTTCCCACCCCCCAATTATTATTCGCCGGTTTGGTTCCCAAGAGTCAAGAGTAGGGGGGTTTCTACCCCCCTGACCTAATAAAAACATGGAGTATGGAGGGAGGGGGGGATGGGGTTCAGGGGAGAAGGGGGGGGGGGGGGGCTTGAATTTTACCACATAATTTGATGTTTTGCAGTTAGGTTGCATCCCTGTTCTTTGTGTTGACTATTTGCTCATCAAGAGTTCCGGATTTCTTCTCTACATTAAACAAATGGATCGCAGACTTTAACAAACAGAACTACATACATGATCAAAATGAACTAGCCATAAGTGCTTTAACTTTAGAGAGCGTGAAACGAGCCCCTGAGTAAAATATTACCATAGGAAGTGGCTATCCTCACTCGGGGTGAGAATAAAAATACGATCGACCTCTCACCCCGGGTGAGACTGGCCAGCGTTGGCTATTCTCACCCAGTGTGAAACAAGACCTGTTTTTCCTAATTTCGGAAAACTGTCAATCGGTGTGGATGATCAAATTTGACAAAAGCAAAGAAAAAAATGGCGTTATAGCACAAAAGCAAGCTAATTTGTTCGTCTACAAAGATGCCTTTAAGGCTATTTCACTTTTCGAATCGATCCGAACTAAGCGGGTCGCCATTTTGTTTAGCCCGGAAGTTCTCGCAAGATCTACTCCTCCTCTCTCTCTCTCCGTGTCTTTCTGAATACTGTCTATCAGTGTGGATGATCAAATTGACCAAAACAAAGATAAAAAATGATGTTAAAACAAAAAAGTAAATTAATTTGGTCGTCTACAAAGATGCTACGGCTATTTAACTTTTCGAATTGAGCCGAACTACGCGGGTCGCCATTTTGTTTCGCCCGGAAGTTCTCGTGCTACTCCTCTCTCTCTCTCTTTCTCTCACTGCCCACAGACAAAATTGTATGCCTTTTTTTAACACAAGAGCGCTGGAACTTTTGTTCACAGCAGAGAATTCTACACTTCTGTTATGACAGTGTAGAATTCTGTACTGTGGTTCACGGTGAACGCTGCACTGGTAGGCCTAGGCTATCTAGATCTAGATTTCTAGATCTACTATCTATCATGGTGAACGCACACCGGGTGAGAATAGCCGAAAGATTTTTTTCTAGATCTAGAGTAAAATTACCCGTTCGGTCAAAATAAGGACGAAAACAGGCACGTCGACTTTAAAGCTTTATATCTCCTATCTGCCTTGCCCTAGAGACAAACCGAAACCAGCTACAGGAAGCCCTGTGATTGGATGACCCCAGGAATGACCTGTTTCAGCTTGTTCTCATATTTGAGGCCCTTACTGGGTGCAAAAGTGACACCCGATTTATTTACGTGTTCGCTTACATTTTTTTTGTTTTCTCATGGATTCGGGCAGTATTTTGACATTCGGTCATTTTCAATTAATATCACATTTGTTTCTTTGCAAGCTTAATAACATGATTTTTAATGCTTGTATTCAACACTTAGACACAATGATAGTTTGTCTAAAGTGGTTTTCACGATTTATAGCTATTTTAATGAGTATGTATCTGACCCACTCTACTACGTGGTATCTGACTCTACTACACTGGCATCTGGCTCACTCAACTACACTGGTATCTGACTCTGCTACACTGATATTTGACTGTATTACACACTGGTATCTGACTCTACTATCCTGGTGTCTGACTGAGCTAATGTGCTGTATCTGACTCTACTAGATCTATCTATTATTTAAATTATGCACAAATTCTTGATTCTTTATTATATAACCATTGGCATTATATTATCTTATGTGCCCGAAGGATGAAAAACTACGGA